GATTTATATAAATTGAAGTCAGCCAATTGTGAGAATTCACGGAATTGAAGATCAAGATAGCCGAGAGCGGACCAATTGCGACCCACGTTCTAAGCGAGACCCGGGAGTGCGGTAATTAGGAAGCTACACTGGACCTCATGTTTAGTGCAGATTCCTGGGGTAAGATGCCCGCGGTGGCAATACTGACCTAACAACCCTGCAGATGCCATTCACGCTCCCTGCCCCCAGTTGAGGAGAATCCAACGCCTTGGGAATGATTTCCTGACTTATTTTCATGCTCATCTCAAATCGGCTGGCCTACCCTGTCGCAGCCTGGTCTCCATCTGGCCCGTGCATGGTCGAGGCTGCTCACCATTTCTCTATAACCAGCAGCTCCTTTTAATAATTCCCGGGAACAGCCATCGTGATTGTGAAGCCCGAAAACCAAAGGAACTAAGTATCCACACGCTGAGGAATTTATCATTTCGTTGAAGGGAGGGTCAACGCTTTCTAATACTAATGTTCTTTACGCAGCAACTTTCTGCACAGGATTTTGCTGGGGAGGTTGGTGAAGATAACTGTTCCCGAGACGAGGTTAGTAATCTTCTTTTGTAACTTGAATTGAGGGGGATAATTGACACTAATAAATAGTAGGCTCGCTCCTACGAATCGGGTTATGAATCCGAGCGTGCAAAGTAACTTAATCCAACGTCTGCACTGAAAGACTGAGAACGAATGCTAAGGATTGCTTGGGGAGCGGTTTAGTAATTCTCCGCAGATTGTTTCAAGTGATGAGGTTCAACAGTTTTGGAATACCCTTGAGACGGATACTCTCACTTTGAGTAGCTCGGTATTGGATTATCAATATGAAAATGGACGGAGATATCACGCCTTCAGACAAGGTATGTGGGCTTTCATGGAAGTGCCAGTCGCGCTCCAAGATCCGAGGTTAAGATTCGTATCGGGATTTCTGACATTTCCCCCATTTTTTCTCACATAGGAACATATATGAACCCGAATGATGAGGTATTACACCTTTCCACGCCAGGCTGAGGAATTTCTCACAAAAAGCCTATGTGAATAGCAACAGAACAACCAATTAGATATATTGTGCGTTTTCTCCCAAATATATACGTTTTGAGCTGCGGCTGACATTCCTGCAGCCATCATGTATACATGCTTCTGCTTAATGGCGAACTCTACCGGGCACCAATTGGTACGAGTCCTGAGGTACGTTTTTGATTGGTTTTCATGCATGTCTCATCTGAAAAATGATACGGACAGTTGCCACACCAAAATGCAGCGAATTTTAGACATTGGTACGGGAACTGGTATATGGGCTATCGACATGGCAGAGCAGTTCCCAAATGCCCAGGTGAGTACAAGTTGCCGTTATATCGCCTGTCTTGAATAAAGTCTTACAAATGGGCTAGATCATCGGGACAGGTAGACAACTTAGGGACCCAGGGTAACTCAAATGCTAATGCTGATAGTAAATGCAGATCTTTCTCCAATACAACCTTCATGGTTAGTAAACTCAGCCAAGAAGCAAGCTAATTGCCATCTTGTCTAATGCGTACCTCCTAGGATTCCACCAAACGTCCAGTTTGAGCTCGACGATGCCGAATCAGAATGGACATTTGAACCCGACCATTTTGACTTTATTCACATAAGGTGCATGATTGGGTCAATATCTGACTGGCCTCGGCTCCTTGCACAGGCTTACAAGTAATGACACCTCTAAACTCAGTCAATGTGAACCATGATTCAACTGACAATCCGTATAGAGCGCTCAAACCTGGTGGATGGATCGAAGTCGTCGAGTTCCATATCCCCAGCACATCCGACGATGACTCGCTGAACGAGTCCACTGCTTGGTGGAAATGGGAGCGATTAATCCTCGAAGCATACGCCATAAGCAACCGATCTTTGATGATTGCGAGGAGTTTACGAAAGTGGCTTCTGGAAGTGGGTTTTGAGCAGACGAGTGAAGTGCAAGTGAGAACGCCAGTTGGTGGGAGCTGGTGTACGGATCCGAGGGAGAAGGAGGTGGGGAGGTGGAATGCGGTGAACTTGATGGAGGGGTTAGAGGGGTTTACGATGGCGCCGCTGCATAGGGTGCTTGGGTGGTCACAGATTGAGGTGCAGGCTCTCTTGGGACAGGTTAGGACAGAGCTTCTGGGGCAGAAGGTGCATGGATACTTTGTGACGTGAGTCTCTCCTCCTGTATGGATATAAATATGCTAAAGCTGAGGGCGAGAGGATAGGCATTTTGTTATTGGCCAGAAGCCACCGGGCCCGACAACGGCAACCCGAACACCAGAGCTTTGAAAACGAACGGAGTGAGCTACTATACTCGAAACCTACTATATCTCTGGAATATTTAACTGGAAGAGGAAGATCAAACATTTCAGCAATCACGAATTTCTTATATCTCGGTGTTTGTGTGCAATGGTTCGAGTGCAATAGTTATATCCCCACTGGTTTTATTTGGTCAAGTATTATTTTTATTCTTTTCCGTGACCACACCGTAAACGATATGGAATTCGAATGTACCATCATCACTTTACCATATCCCGATGTACATACTCATCCACAAACACTTAACACGAAATTTCCTTCAAATCGTAGAACCTTAGAGACATATAGAAATAATATAACTCCACTACAGGGATCTCTCATTGCAAGCATATCAAATATAAGCATATATTGGTTACAAGCATACCTCCGCCAGATGGTCCCCTTACTGGGACTGAATAGGAGTAATGAGTACTAAAAAAAAAAAAAAAAGTAAAAAATATCTGTTAGTCTCGCATAGTAAATAAGCATATTTTTGTTACTAGAATATTCTTACTTTTTTTGCTTGGTCGCCATACATATGCTTGTAACAAGAGAAGTGCCCTACCATATCGGGTATGTTTATCGATAAGAAATAACCCCGCACAATCTCATGAAGCAAAGGTAAGAGTTGAATCTAACATCTAAGAACAAAGCCTTACAACTACTCACCCAACAAACTCAAATGCCTGCTTCTCACGGATCTACACATATTCCGCAACGACAAGCGCGGTCAATGAACGCGAAACTGAGCCACTTAGATACATAGAACTGCCTAGACATAGAGTATAGCTTATGAGATACGTTATACTCTTACATTATAGGTACCGATGGCCATACTTCTATATAGCAGAGTACGGATAAGGGTGTCTCTCGCTAACATCACTTGCAGTGTAGGTATTGCCGAATATATAGGTGGATCTTGATATGAATGTATACCATGCCCTGGTGCGAGTTTCATAGCGCCATCTCTTTTGATATGGGAATTTGGACTTAGACAGCTGGTCCCGATGTATGTTGTCGATAAGGTTTTATCACGTACCAGCCTTTCCCCCCATGTCCCTAAACATGTATAGCCCATCTATAGAGTCACAAAGGGGATGCTAATTACAAAATCACTATATATGAATTAAGGTGCTTGATCGAATTTCTTTACCTTCCGTTACTTATGATGGAACAACCTTTGCCCAAGCATCAAATCATGTCTTGCAGAATCTTCCCGTTTCATGTGCTGCTAGTTCAGTATGTATGAAGATAGATTGAGTTGGTTACCGAGAAGAGCCCATGAAGCCTCCCCTTGCTGGGTTCATATAGAATAAATTATAGATCTGCAACGAGTGGTAAGTAGTCACCACTCGATAGATATGAAGTCAGGGTAATACCTGCCAGGGATGGGTTTTACACGTAAGATCTAAGTTACCTCCAGTACACTCCTACTACAGGTGCGTGAAGTGAGACAGACAGGTGAGTGCATGACTTTCCTCTTTCAAGGGGACTTCAAATTGCAAAATGTGGGTGCGACATATGCGCAATTTAGAACTGTTTTGATGATAAAATCCCAGCTTATGATATTGCTCCAACAACGTCAAACTGTATATTTGTTATTGCTTGTGCCTGCAAGAGCCAATATCATGGAGGCTGGAATTGCCCTAATAGAGATAGCATAGAATCGATGGTAGGTACTTAATTGACTAACTTTTGTAGATGGAATAAGATTAGTCTCATTTTGGTGAGATATATTAGAATGAGATTCTTGTTCTATGTCTAGTACCCAGCACCATTTCCCTTTGCTTGTGGCTGTGACAATCAAATCCGGAAGTAATCTGTGCATCCAGATTCGTCTACACGGGAGTTAATCCATAAGGAGTTATTAGATACTACAACAGCCTGGGCATAAGAAAACACTATTTTAAGAATAAATGTTTATCTTAAGCCATAGAAAAAAAAAGCATCCATAAATAGTCTGAAAGCTCTAGGTAGGCGTGGTAATACCAACTATATGTTTGGTCCACAGATATACAGTTTATATCGGAGCAGGGTCTGGTTAGTTGGTTATACAATACAAGTATATTATCAACTGTAGTCTCAACTGAAACAGCCAATACTTATTTCTCCGCTTATATGTACTCTGTATCCGCATGACCTTCAGACTCGATCTGGGGTACATACAGAGAGACAGATTTGCTACTGGACCACCAATCACGGACACCCTGTATTGTCTTGATGCATATGCATGTAATGTTAGCTGACCAATTCCGCATACCATTTTCCTGCCAACACATCGCTTTTATGATGTAAAATGTGATGGTCACACTTTTATGCAGGTCTCAATCAATACACTCAAGCCCGTCATCACATTCCTATTGGAGAATTTGGTTCCGTCTCGCCACCCGGCTCCAGGTTCCGGAAACCTCAATATTCGTTTCAATGAGTTTGATTTTGCACTGAACCGGCACCAGATTTCAGCCACAGTCAAGCTCCGGCGGTTCCAGATCGTCTCGCTGATCCGTGAAGGGGTTCGGTGATCCGTGAAGGGGTTCGGTGATCCGAGCCCGTGAACTTAGGCAGCACTTGGGATTGTCTTATACCCTATTCCATTATTTAAATCCGATTCTTGGTTAGCAAGAATCATGTGACAAACATAGAGTGACTTGGCAAAAGAACACTGTTCAGCCCAAAAGGGAAGCCCGATGCGAGGCTCGAACTCGCGACCGAGATACCTGCCAGTGGCCAACGCCACCTTAAGAGTCACACGCTCTACCGACTGAGCCAACCGGGCATACATGCTTATCAAGTAGTTATCGGATCTGCACTATATCAAAGAATGTAGGATAGCAAGCCAAAGTTATCAAACCGAACTCACATGTGGTAGGTTTTTTTCTAATCATTTGATACCTCCACAGAGGTAGTCTGGTTGGCACCCACAGAGGACAAACTTCGCCTCCTAAGTTTCAAACTTGTCTCATAGCACGTTAGACACATCAACATAACACCACTGCAAGCCATGATAAAATAACTTTGACAGCAACAAAACCCAACCCTTGAAATCCATGAATGAGGTTAGAGTGGGTAAAAGTGGGACTCTCACTGCGAGCCGTATTGGCAATCGAGCGCCGTGCCTGCTCGGTCTGGGTTTCCTATTTGTAAGTCCAAAGGTTTTTCCGGTTGCTTAAAACAGCGCAATCAACGGCGGAAATTACCGTCTCCAGGGAGGGGCGATAAATAGGTTATTTTATTTCCTAGCGATATCGAGTGGGCCATGTTGTTAATCTGTGTCAGTTTATGATTATCAGAGCTAGTCTGGCATAGTCTGGTTAGTCTGGCATATCGGGCCAACGCAAGAAAAAAAAAGAGGTTTTATCGTCGCCGCTACCACTTTGAGGTCCAGATTGCAATCTAACTAGTCCGGTACATCTAACTAGTTACGAGAGACTAAATAATGACATTCAGAACTGTCTTCCACGTCTCTGGTATGTGGTATGGCTTCGGCTATCCCGAATCAGAATAAACAAGATCGGCATCACCGAGTCACTGTCCTTTATTGGAAGATATAAGAGGCTATTCGGATTTGCGAATGCTAATCAGGAATGAGTTGTCAATACTGCCAATATAAACCATCTCGTGCCGCAATTACCGGAAAAGTAAAGCTCTGCGTAGATTGGCTGGTCAAAGCCGCAACTGCACAAGAACGGTGGTGCGAGTCCAAATTATCCCCAACACAGTAAGGTAACTGGAAACGACAACTTGCGTTGAGCCTATGGGATGTAATCCGGTGGTCTGGGCTCAGTTGAGCAGAAAGCCCGGTTGTCGGCGTCTCCGACGCTCGGCAATCCCGTCCATTGCTCGGGAGTCCAGCAAGGGGGGATCCATGTCAATTCATGTGTTAGATGCCTGCAGATCGCCACATTCTCTCTACGTAATTTACCCTCTACACTGGAGGAGAGAGGAGCGATAGGGAAGCAGCCGCAAGAACCATATCAAATGCATTTCGGGGTGAACTAAGTGGGCCTGATATCGGCGATGCCGAAGTTGCAAGCAATGATTAATGCAACTGTACAAGTTGATATGTATCTGTAAGCATACAGTAATCTTTTGCTTGCTCGTGAGTTAGAATAGCCAGAGTATGAAGCACTCTATGCACCACGCAGTAGGATCAATATATGGACAATGAACATACTTGGTATGAGGGAGAATCGGGAGTTGTATGGAAGTGCTGTAGGTCGCTTTCTGAGAGGCCCAGGACTGAATCTTGGAGATACTTATGTATCTAACTTTGGATCAACAGGGTCAAGCCAGGGAAAAAGCAACGATCTCGCCTTGCAGGTAAGACCCTCGGTAATGTGCGAATCTGAGACTTTCTCGGCTTCCATTCAATTTTTCCTTTCTTTTCGTAAGTTGAAACTACCAGATTGACAGCTGACCTACTGTCGGCGGAAGGTTGGAATTACCCTCAGAAATCACTGTCAATTTGACACCCAGCTAGGATATCATCCCAAACTTGGTTACTTCTCCAGCTAATTGTCTATCGTGTTTCACATCTCATATACTGCGATTCCTCAGGTGTGTCAATATTAATATGTCTTGACCTCCGTGAGTTCGGTCTAGGTGTCAGCTATCTAACAACAGCTTAGATTAGTTGCCCCAACGAAATACTCATGGCGACTAACCTCTCATTTGGTGACGCTTCGTCATTACTCCACCAACTCGAAAATGAGCTCACGAGAGATAAACCACAGCCTAGCATGCCCCACCCTCAAGGACAGCAGCGTCCTGGAAGCTCATCATCAGATCCACTTCCATCCATGGCATCAAGCACAGTTCATTTCAGGCCTTCACAACCGGCGATGTCGATGTTGGGGAAGCGACACCCCATACTTCCTCCACTTAATGCTACCCCAACGTCAAATGCGAAATTTCCTTCCACATACCCAATCTCACATGAACGTTGGGGTGGTGATAGGGAGTGCCTCGAGAGCTCGAAGAGCACCCCACAGAATACTAGTATCCCTCTTCCGCCATGTAGGGCGCAATCCTCACCCTCACCGCGAAGACGTACGCCACCAGCAATGGGAAGGGTGAGCAGTGGGAATAGCAGAGTTGAAGGAAAGGGAAGAATATCAAAAGTGCAAAGAACAGAGAAGCCTAATGCTGGGGAGGGAAGTATGGAGGAAAGGAGCTGGTTTGACGCGGATGGAGATGGAAAGAGGAATGAGGAACTGAAAGAGCTTCCCAAATTGCCAACATTAGAAATCAAGAGAAAAGAAGTACCATACCGGGTTCAGCCACCACTGGCCTATAAACAGCCTCCCACAACCACACCAATTTTTGGGCTCGAGGATCAGGTAGCAGATATCTTGTCAACCTTCGAAAGCACTCCCAATACACCCTCGTCCTTTTCGAATTTAGCCTCAGAATTTCAAAACCCACTGGAAGATATACACCTTTCAACTATACTCATATCCTCAACGACACCGTCTCTACCTGCCACAGTATACAGCCTCGCCGTTTCCAATCCCTCATTTTTTCAGACGCTCCGAGAAGCTGTTCCACCGGAGTATTGTGCTATTTCCTTTTTCAAGCGAATCGAAGCTCAGGTATATGCCATAGGTCGACGACATTCCGACTATCTGTTTTCTGGTGCATCTTTCTTTGACCTCACTGGGATGGGGGGACGGTTATCCGGCCCTGGGCGGACCCTAGCGGAGGATGAAGAGATGTGTTTACCGGATGCAAAGTGGTGTGAAACAGCATTGAAGAGAAGGGTGAGCACCATTAGACGGCACTTAGAGATGAGGAAGCCATTGGGTAGAGGGGCTAAAGAACAGGCCATGCGGGCACTAGTTAGAATTCTCTGGGAAGTAACGGATAAAGGAGTGTATGAGGAAAGAGAAGATATGGGAGCTGGCATGTCATCAACGCCGATGGATCCCCAGAAACGTCAGAGTCGCCTCCCGAATCAGAAAATCGGTGTGTATGGCAGGCTGATAGGGAAAACTGGGGCATCGATATCAGTTTCACGGAAGTCTGGTGGTTTCATGTACGGAGCTCAACAGATGCAATTTGCCTGGCCATCTTTGCCACCATCTGCTGCTCCTGAAGGTTTTGAAGGTGGCTATTTCGTTATTGAAGCATTATGGGAGCTTATGGACTGTGCTGGTCCTTCGATGGACCTTTTGCGGATGTTATTGGAACGTATAAAGATGTTTGAAGCTCGGGATGGGTATATAGAAGAGTTGGAAAGGTTTCTGGTGGAAGCTGGAAAACAAAACTCGCAGATGGGAGCTGGAGGTGATGTTAATATGGGGGATCAAGTCAATGTAGCGCTGAGCAGAAAGAGTTCGGTCGATAGTGCGAAGCGGGCCCGGGAGTGCAGCGAGGAGGAGGTGAGACGGGATCAGCTGCGAGCAGTATTTAAGAGAAGGGTATAGTAGAAACTTATATGTATATATCATGTTCTTGGAAACACTTTGTGACGGAATTCTGAAATAGCTAAGGTGAAAATATAACCTCAAGCTCTTTAGGTTTGAGAAGTACCAATAACACAAGTTGGTGTTGGGGGTAGAGATCGGGAATTTCATCGGAATGGAAATCGGCGTTTAAGGATGCACTAGCCTTGTAAGCCTCGTGCTGCACCGCCTCGAATTTCAGCCACCGGGGGTATTACCGAACGTTTACATCACGTAGTGGTTTTTCAGCCACCTCCGTTCTCGTGGGCCACTTCCGGTTTCCCTGCTCTTGAAACTTCTGATACATACGGGCTCCATTCTCAACCTTCCAAAACCACCTCTCTTCTCAAGGGTGGGCTGTTCTATCTTTGGGGATCTCATCTGCTATAAACCTCTTCTTGGCGCTGACTGTTTATGAGCAGGCTCTTTACAATGTCGTGGGAACGAAAGCATAGGCCATCCCCTGGGAAACCACATCGACATCAAGGTAGGAGTTACGCTCATGGACTTCTCTTTCTGAGTTACTAAGGACTCCCTCGACTAGTACATTAGGGGGAGCGAGAGAAAGAACCCCCTGAGTTGGAGGGAGGGCGAGGTTCTGTTCATGGCTCCGAATTCATGCAACCTGAATTGATGAACATTCAGAGGAGGCCAGACCTCATGAATGTCGACGTTGTGGGGAAGCGAGAGATAGGTGTTGACCAGCTCGCAAGCATAACTGAGTCTCCGAGAACAGGTAGGTATGTACTGCACTTGCTGTATATATGTGGACTCTACTAATAAAAGGTGTACCAAATTCAGCTCAGGTACAGCAGCAAGAATTACCACGTACCGTACTGCCTGCGGATAAAGGATTGAGTCAGAGAGGTTTCACCCGTGCCGATACTATCACCCGGCTTGTTTTAGAGGGTGAGAGAACCGCAAATACAATCAGCGAGCCAGCGTTACTATTCAACTAACGGCGAGGCATATTGATTAGGTGAGATCCAAAGTTAAGTAATAGTCTAGTCTCGATCAGACCCTCGTAGTTATCGTGTAGTCTCGATTAGACCCTCGTAGTTATCGTAGAGGGTCTGGTGCCATTATTAGCGTTTTCTTACGCCACTTTGGCAACGGCTTAGTGACCCGTGAAAACTTGCCCTCTTTCAACGGCACTTAGAGAAACTTTAGTCTTTGATTGTTTCTGTTGGTAGTTTTCACGGTAATACATACATCATCGCACAAAAGATGCATGTATACGCTTATTAGTAGTGGCGGCTATACATGACAACATATTTACATACTGCTAAAGCACGCAAACCTAACGGTATGCTCAAGACGCTTATTCGGCCAA